CAACCCCGTTGCATGCAAACAGCCTCAGCATAGCCAAATGTGTACTCTATACAGATTTTTACTCCATTCTCATGTACCCGCTCAGCGTACTTAGAAGTATTAGTTTGGATTGATATTGGAACTATACCAAAATATTTATAAAAATTACAAATTTTATGTTTAAGTTCTGCGTCTTACTTTTCCCACATTTGAAAGGGGATTTCCACTTTAAGGGGTTGTAGTATTTCTTGATTAGCAATATGTAAGACTGTGAGCAGCACAAATTGTTATATATGCATGATTTATTCCAGTATGTGCGGCTCAGTTAGTTTTGCCTGACTGGAAAATAAAATAAGCATCCTGATGTTTGTGGCTTAGTTTACTTGGTCATACACTATGAGTTTGTGTAGAGATTCAACATGAGAGTGTCATTTTCAAAATCATACAGTGGAAAACACCTTCCATATTTATGGGAAGTAGGAAAAAGGGGAACCTGTTTTATTTAGATGATCTTTGATTTTTATCGCTTTGGAAAATCTTACAGCAAATGTGCCTAAAGACATGTCTAGATATGTCTTAGAGTCTGTTTTAAGTTTTAACTTCGACATTTTGAATCTGGGCCACTGGACAAGTACACACATTGATGAATTTCATCAAAGTCCTCCTGACACTACTTGTACAGCACACATGGGTATTGACTGTGTATTTTTCCTCTTCGTCCAGGAACTGGATCACTGAACTTCAGTTTGACACAAAAGGCCCAAATTGTTATGGCTGGTTGGCAATAGGACTTCTTTGGTACATATAATACATATGTTTTCAGTTAGGTGAAAAAGGAAACCTCAAAAGCATATGGCTTTAACTGCACCAAGTATCACTCCCTGTTTGTGTCAGGAAAATGGCTGAGACAGCTGTATCACACAGGTGGTACGCCGAGCAGTAAATTATAAGGGTTTATAGAGGGCTAGAGACACGCAGTCTCTGAACAATTAATTTTACTTGAACAGTTCTGACCTGGACTCACTTCTGTTTTAATCACTGCAAGAAGGCCTTATCAGTTTCAGATGTGCAGGTGCAGACTGGATGTTTTTGTAGGGGGACTTTAGGGATGTGGACAGACAGGTAGATAGCCAATAGCAGTAATGGTGGTACAACGTGAAAGCTTCTGAAACATTTAATCAATCAACATGATCTCACTGAGCAACTTCATATCCCTTCCCATATTTTTCTCTTTCCTCCAGAACACAATTACTCCTCAAGAGAGGAATTTATCGCGCTAGCAGCAAGCGCTACATGAAAAATTACAGTCAGGAGTATTGCTGTGCTATTTGTTTTCCATTCAAGAATAGAAATTGTGGAACTTGTGAGGAGAGAGCTTGAGCATGTTTTACAGTCAGAAAGGCAATCTTTTCAAAGATCTCAATGGCCTCAGAGATAAAAGATGTGGAACAGCTTAAAAATGTACGGATATGGAATAAGATACCATCATAGTTCAAAAAGGCCTTCTGAAGCAAAATATACCTTATATAATGTTCTGATTGTAAGTTGCCTTCTATATGTGGGGCTATCCTACAATGAGACAAAGTGAGTGTCCTATCTCAGACAACACGTTTATGATCTTTAGCAGGAGGCTAAGCAAGTTAACCTTAGGTACCATAGGTTTTGCAGTGTTTGCACAATAAGAAAAAAGAATTTCAATAATAGCAGCATCGGGGAAGTTTTTATTTAAACAAAATAAGAAAAATTGCAACAATCTGTGAATTTTGCAGAATTAATTGTGTGTTAGTTTCATACATACCACATTACCCCTATTATCAGACAATGACATTAACATAAAGTCTCAATTGTTTACTCATACTGTGAACATTTTTTGCCCCAGATAAGGTCTCACCTTGTGCACTAATATTCACTTTACAAAGTGAACATACACCTTGCAAAGGGAACATTCATTTTGCAAAGTAGACAGTTACTACTACTATCAGAACATTATCCTTGTATGTGCTTGGGCACAGGCTGATTATCTAAACACCATTATTCCTTCTATGGTTTAAGGATCCAAAAGGAAAGCGGGGGGGGGGGGGGGGGAGAGGGAATAAAAAGAAAAATAAGGAAAAAGTAATTACAATACGCCTGTAACCTTGGTTTACGAATGCCTCTGTTAACGTAATTTTCGGTTTACGAACGAAAATCTATTGAATATAATACCTCGGTTTACTAATTTTTTTTGCAATACAGATCGAGTTTTCCCCAGGATGCATTGCGCCTGGGAGTTTTTTATAGTGCCGGCCCCGTGCCTTTAAATTGCACTTGATAAAGAGTTTTCAACAGAGAAGACTTTTTTTTCACTCTTTTCTGACCTCCGGAACGGATTAATTGGTTTTCAATGCATTTACGAATTTGTTTTGCAATACGAAGCAAGTTTCCCCAGGATGAATTGCGCCTGGGAGGTTTATAGCACCAGCCCTGTGCATGCTGGAGTCTGTGGGTAGCACGTGGCATTGAGTGTGGAGGTTTCGGAGCGGTTTTTGCATCGAGTTCTGGAGCCATTTTTAATCACATCTCTGTACAGTATTTTTGCCTTAAAAGTACACTTTATAAAGAGTTTTGAACGGATAAAAGAATTTTCTTTTTACTTTTTTCTGACCTCCAGAACGGATTAATTGGTTTTCAATGCATTCCTATGGGAATCCGCTTTTCAGTTTATGAACTTTTCGCAATACAAAACGTCCCGGAGAACGCATTAGGTATGCCTGTAATTCCAAAAACCCCTATTAATTATGCTATTAATGCTGGGTCTTGACCCAGAGGCATAGCTAGGGGGGGCAGGGGGGTACATATGTACCCAGGCGCCAAGGTACAGGGGCACCAAAATGAGGCTTACAACGTTACATTATAATAAGTGAACAAGGGTAATAAATCGGTCACAAGATCACTGCAGCGGCTGCAGCAGACATGTCATCTGATACGTCTGTCATCCACAGTGATGATGCTGCCTGCCAGCCACTGCAGCCAGCCGAGATAAGGATTCTGCATAGAGCGAGTTCCCTCTGCACGTATTGAGCGTTGATAAAAAAGTGGGCATATGTGATGCACTTGTTATTGTGGCAGAAAACAAAGATGGCTTGAACTCTATTAAGGTACAAGTAGGCTGTATGTTGTGTACATAAAGTGTTTAAATTAAATTAGTAGTACTTGTTCTAGTATAAAACAGTCCATAACTGCTGGGTAATGTCTGTGGTCGTGCTATGATTACAACATGGACACGGCAGTGCTTCTGTTCTTTTTTGGGGTGGAGTGAATGCGTGAAAGGGTGGGCTGTATTTGTTAGCTCGCCATACTCACCATACTTAGAAGCTGGACCAACGGTGGCAAGCTAAGTTTATCTGTAATATTGTTTTACATATAGAATAAAATTTTCATTAAAATTTAAATTGTTTTTCCTTATGCAATGTAATAGAAAAATGTGATTAAACAGGGAGGGGGGCTGGGGCGCCAATTTTATAGTTTGTCCCTGGGCATAAAATATCCTAGCTACGCCTCTGTCAAGACCTAGAAGCATAGGAACATATACTAATAGAGGGTCTTACCTAGGGTTAAAATTATAATGTTCACTCAATTGGTCAGCACGGTACAAATCAAGATATTATTGGTAAGTACATACGTTGCAGCATAACCTTATTGCATCAGAGGCCAGCAAGGATCCTATAAATATATTTATTATAAACCCATATGACCCTCACCATAGAACAGGAAAATGCACCATTACTACTTCCAAACAGAAAATACTATTACTATAATCAGTACCAATGTCCCATCTGATAGAAACCACATATAACTCATATCAAGAGCACACCCCCTGTGTGCGATAATTGGCATGGAATTTGAAGACAAACCATTCCCCATACCCTGGATCCAAATGTGTACTTGTTTTCCATTACCAAATGGGGAATGGCTTGTCCCCAAATTTCATGCCGATTGTGGCACATAGGGAGTCATTTACTTAATGCCAGGTATTTGTGGAAGCTATTACGCGGCCAGACAATACATCAACGGTGGCCGCGTATGTATGATCATACATACTACTCAAGCAATGACAAAATGGTTACACCAGTAAGTAGACACTTGAATCTGTATGACAGGTTTGATACATCTGTGGCTAAGTTTATTGTTTTAGAAAAGGTTCATGAAGGTCCAAGAGGCGGTAACTGGGATAAACGGATACTACAAAAAGAGACATTTTGGATTGAAAGACTTAAAGGCCTCAATGAGATACTCATATTAATGTTATAGTATTCTTAAACCTTGAGGAGGTGTGTATATATTGTGTATTGAATATAAAATATGAATATGTTAATGTGAGTCCAGGTGTACCTTTTGAATCAAAATTATCTGCTGTGGGATATGCATTATTATGTATGTCGGTGTCACTGTGGATTGTATGATATACTGATCCATGTTGTTTTATACATCAAGGTATCTATTCGTGCTGTCTGTGACTGTGCCTACTTAATCTGTTAGAGAATATGGTAGGAGGTATATAGACATTATAGTATGTGATGTACACACTTACAGCATATTGCCAAAAGTACTGGGATGACTGCCTTTACATGCACATGAACTTTAACCACTAGCCTACTGGGCACTTATACCCCCTTCCTGCCCAGGCCAATTTCCAGCTTTCAGTGCTGTCACAATTTGAATGACAATTGCGCGGTCATGCAACACTGTACCCATATGAAATTTTTATCATTTTTTTGAGACAGATAGAGCTTTCTTTTGGTGGTATTTAATCACCTCTGGGATTTTTATTTTTTCTTAAACAAACCAAAAACCACTGAAAATTTTGAAAAAAAAACTTTTTTTTTTTTTCTTAGTTTTTGTTATACAGTTTTGTAAATAAGGGATTTTTCTCCTTCACTGATGTGCACTAATGAGGCTGCAGTGATGGGCACTGATAGGCTGCACTGATGGACACTGATAGGTGGCACTGATGGGCACTGATGAGGAGGCACTGGTAGGTTGCACTGATGGGCATTGACAGGCATCACTGATGGGCACTGAAAGGCAGCACTGATACATGACACTGATATATGGCACTGATAGGCTGCACTGACTGGCACTGATAGGCGGCACTGACTGGCACTGTTAGGCGGCACTGACTGGCACTGTGAGGCGGCAGTTACTGGCACTGTTAGGCGGCACTGCTGCGCACTGATAGGCGACACTGACTGGCACTGATAGGTGGCACTGATAGGTGGCACTGATTGGCATTGATAGGTGGCACTGACTGGCACTGATGGGTGATATTGATGGGAAAGACAGCTCAGATGGGCACTGATATGTGGCATTGATGTGCACTGGTATGCACTGATATGTGGCACTGATGGGCACTGGCATGTGGCACCGATGGGCACTGGCACATGGCACTGATGAGCACTGACAGGTGGCACTTCTGGGGCCACACTGATCATCAGGGCACACTGATCAGTGCCCTGATGATCAGTGTACATGTCCCCTCCGCAGAAAGCCGATTACCGGCTCTCCTCTCCTCTCGAGCTGTCAGCGTGACAGCTCGAGAGGAGAGAAATGCCGATAACCGGCATTTCCATATTTACATGTGATCAGCTGTGATTGGACACAGCTGATCACATGACCGAGCCGACATCTTCGGCTCTTTCCGTGATCCGCTGTTTCCGAGGGACACAGCGCACCAGCAATCGCCGCGCTGCGCGCTCCCTGACCCGCGCATGCGCAGTGAGTCTGGTAGGATGTCATATGACGTCCTATCAGAATGAGAGAACCACCTTGCGCCCATCATATACTATAGGATGGGCGGAAGGTGGTTAATGGCATCCCAGTCTTAGTCAATATTGAGTTGGCCCACCCTTTGCAGCTGTAACAGTTTCAACTCTTCTGGGAAGGCTGTCCACAAGGATTAGGAGTGTGTCTATGGGAATGTTTAACCATTCTTCCAGAAGCACATTTGTAAGGTAAGGCACTGATGCTGGATGAGAAGGCCTGGCTCACAGTCTCCGCTCTAATTCATCCCAAAGGTGTTCTGTCGGGTTGAGGTCAAGACTCTGTGCAGGCCAGTCAAGTTCCTCCACCCCAGACTCACTCATTCATGTCTTTATGGACCTTGCTTTGTGCACTGGTGCGCAGTCATGTTGGAACAGGAAGGGGCCATCCTCAAACTGTTCCCACAAAGTTGGGAGCATGAAATTGTCCAAAATGTCTTGGTATGCTGACACCTTAAGAGTTCCCTTCACCAGAACTAAGGGTCCAAGCCCAACCCCTGAAACACAAATCCAAACCATAAATCCCCCCTCCACCAAACTTTACACTTGGCACAATGCAGTCAGGCAAGTACCGTTCTCCTGGTAACCACCAAACCCAGACACATCCATCGGATTGCCAGACAGAGAAGCATGAATTGTCTCTCCAGAGAATACGTCACCATTGCTCTAGAGTCCAACAGTCCAGCACACCCAGTGCAGGAGTCAGTCCTGTCCATCCAGGACCTGTAGGTAAGTGAGCCAAGGGGTCCATATTTTGTCCAATGGGGCTCGTTTGTCCTGCAGAACACTCACAATTTTTTCATTAAACATAGTCCAAGTGAGCTTATGCTTCATCAGTGCTATATCAATGATAGGACTTTTCCAGGCTATGGCAGTGGCAAATAGATTAAGATTTGTGTATGCCTGGGGACATTCTCAATTGGCTGATTTAGCAAAGCAATGCAAGCGTCTTTGGTTATGTTGATCATGGTGACCGAAAATACAAGGAAGTGTATCCTCATCCAATATCAGCGAACTTTAGGGCAGGTCCACCATATATTAAAAAACCATGCTTGCCTGGCCTGGACCTCTGAAGCATGAGGCCGATATTCCCGGGAACATTCAGGAGGGGCGGTCTGGAACCAGGTATCACCTCGCATATACTTTATACTCTGCTTCTGTCAGAGCAACATTTAATATGCCTTTGTGAACAGGACCGCCATACCTCCTCCTCAATAGACATATCCAGATCCCTCTTCCATACGACCTGATAAGAAAGTTTGGTTGATAGTAAAGAGTTTGTACAGAGCAGAGATGCATCCCGCAACTGAGTTCCTTGCATACATCTATTTTCAAACATAGTGCATACAGTCAAATCAAGACTGTTTGTCTGTAGAGTATGCAAAAAATTATAGATTTGCTGGAGGTGAAAGTTCTCAGCGGGGGGCAACTCTAGACTTTACAAAAAGTATGAGGAAGGGCGAATCCCCTATTGGTCAAGGAAGTCCCCTATTCTATAGAGTCCCTTATTGATTCATCAGCTTAAATTTTGGAGTGCAGTCCTGGTGGGAGCAACGGGTTATTAAGGATGGGGAACGCTAGCATGTGTGGGGAGCGCAAGGGCCATCATTTACAATTCAAGTCCCACAAACTGAGGGAGTGGGAGAGAGTAGGGCATAGAATTGCTTTGCGATGATGTGATGGGAGCCATAACACCAGATCCAGTGGGTCAGGAAGGTCAGTAATCTGTTTGCCAAAATATTTTGTAAACAATTTGAAATCATTGTTAATTTAAAAGAAATTGGGGCAGATAATTAGCCACCTCACTGGGATCTCTGTGGGGCTTTGGAATGCAGGTTATGAATGCTGGGGTTAGACACCAAACGTGATTTTGGCGATGTTGCGGAGAAGTCAATGGGGGGTGGGGTTTGGGCTGGGGGGGAAGACAAGAAACTCGGTTTTGGTGAGATTCAGTTTAAGGAAGTGGAGCGACATCCAATCTGATATGTCGCTCAGTAGGTGTGTGATTCGGGCAGAGACCGAGGGGGTGAGGTGAGGGGTTGAGAGATAGATTTGTGTGTCGTCGGCATAGAGGTGGTAGTTGAAGCCGTGAGAGTGTATGAGTTGGCCAACGGAGGAGGTGTAGATGGAGAAGAGATGGGGCCCAAGGACAGAGCCTTGAGGGACCCCAACAGAGAGGGGGAGTGAGGGGGAGGTGGTAGCATTATAGGTAACGCTGAAAGAGCGTTGTGACAGGTAGGATGAGAGCCAGGAGAGAGCAGAATCTCTGAGGCCGAGGGAGTGTAGTTTTTTGAGGAGGAGGGGGTGGTCAACTGTGTCGAAGGCCGCAGAGAGGTCAAGGGAGTAGGAGCACTGAATAGTGGCCATTAGCTTTGGCGGTTAGAAGGTTGTTGGAGAGTTTGAGTAAGGCGGTTTCGGTGGAGTGTAGGGGACGGAAGCCAGACTGTAGGGGATCGAGGAGGTTGTTGTCGTTGAGGTGAGAGCATTGACGGGTGTAGACGAGGCGCTCAAGGAGTTTAGATGTAAAGGAGCAGGGTCATATTATATCTAAATGTAGGCTCCTTGTTGGCCCCTGATGTAATATGGGTATGCTGTGACTTATATACTTACTATTAACATCTGGATTTGTACCGTGCTGACCAATTGAGTGAGCCTTAAAATGTTGAACCTAGGTAAGATCCTATATTGGTATATGTTCCTATGTTTCTAGGTCTTGGGGCATTAATAGGGTTTTTGGGGGAATTATTAGCATTACTTTTTCCTTATTTTTCTTTTATTCCCCTCTTACCTTGACCCTTCCATCCCCTCCCCCCTTTTCCTTTTATCTCCTCAGCCCCCCCCCCCCCCCCCCCCCCCTCTCCCACACACACCCTTCCCTTCTTTTTATATCCTTATAGATTGACCCATATCTTTATAATTAAGTGGCTTTTCATCCAGTTGTGTTTTATTTATGGGTGGATTTTTTTTTTCCCCTTTATATGTCCTGACACACTCTTCCATCCCACAGATGTATCTGATTTTTCAGTAAGTGGTAATTGACTGCTAGCAATATTTGTTAGTTATATTATTGTTATGATATACACTGTATATTATAGTAGTATTTATGTATTTGTATATATAGCACAGTTTAGCTATTCAGCACCCAAAAGAAGCTCCTGAAGAAATGGTTTCCGCAAAACATGTCGAGCTATGTCTAGCAAGAAAAAAACATATGTTCAGGGCCGGCTCTACCGCTAGGCGAACTAGGCAGCCACCTAGACCGCACTGCCCGCCTAGGGCACAGCCACTGGTTCCAGGCTATCCTCTGTGCAGTGTCTGGGGTCCTCAGTGAGGAGTGTGGCTCCTGTGCCCATCTGTGGCAGCGGAGTGCAGTGCAGAGTGGGGATGTCATAGCTCGGCCTGTCTTTGTCTCCCCCCCACTCTGACTCACACCAAGGAGGAGGGGTAGATTTTCAGCCATCTTCACTTCCTCTTCTCCCTGGGATCTAAGTGGTGCCGATGTCAACTCTCTGCCCGCCTCCCTCCCTGGGGCTGTGTGCAGCCATTGGAGGAGCAGGGTGAGCGGTATTGTGGATGGAGACAGCTGGTATCAACCCAAAAAAGTGGGAGGGAGAAAGGGGGTGAGTTAGCAGTGAGTAGACACTTCTCTGTTATATCGATCATGGACCTGTTCTGGAAGGGGGGACAACATCATCACTCCTCCTTCATCATTGCCAGGGCCCTGTTCCAGCCCTGACCACAATGGTGGAAACATCCCTAGCTGGGATCATCTAAGCCCCTTCATCACTTCCCCCAGTTGACACCATCCACTGATCGCCGCTGTATACTAATGACAGCCTGGGTCTGCCTGTCACACAGGGCTGGCGCCATCACAAGGCAGCTTAAGCAGCTGCGTAAGAGCGCCAGGATGGGGTTAGGGGGTGGTAAAATCCAAAGCCCCAGCTACATGTTGGGGATTTGGATTTTTAACAATGATGCAGCAGTATGTGTCACCTATATGCTATCAATAAGGGATCTATTGGTCTCCTATGTGATAGCAATAAAAGTTATGTAAAAAAAATATAAAGAATAAAAATAGTAAATATATAAAATATAAAAAAAAAGTTTGACACATTTAAAGAGACAAAAAAACATTTTAGAGGCCCCCCCCCCACACACACAAATACACACATACAAAAATGCATGAGCTGTGGCAACTGCGATTGCCCTACACATGTTAAGTATCACCACGAGCTCTGGAGTGAGTGCAATAATTCTAGCATCAGAACCCCTGCAGAACACTAAACTGATGACCATTAAGGGCTTTTAAAACATTGTCTATGAAAAAAATATAGGGTACTGAAGTTTTTCACCATTTCATGGGTACACACATGCAAAGCCCCTGCAGGTCATCAATTTAGTGTTATGCAGGAGTTCTGGTGCTAAAATGTTTGAATTAATTTTTTTTTTTTTGGGGGGGGGTTAAATAACTGGTTTTGCCTAGGGAGCAAAATAGTCTTAAGCCAGCAGACATAGGAATATGTAACAGCATGTATCTTGTTCTACTAAGGGTGCTTTTGTGCATTGTCACTGCTCGCTGATTTCAGTATTT